ACCCCCACGGCTCACTTTCAGCCAATTGATAGGCAGACGTATAAGGTGAACAATAACACCAGGGAGGTATGAACTCTTTAGAACAGTCAACCACATGAGATCCAAAGGGCAGCATTTGCCCGCGGATGGAGCTCAGAGGGCTGGAAGGCACTGGAAAGGAGGAGGAAGGGAAGTGTCACCCAGGCAGGAAGTGAGAAGACAGCTGTTACATTGTGAGGACTGCAATCAAGGTCACAAAACAAAAGCGAGTGGAAAACCATTCAACTCTGTAGATTTTCACCCAAACCATAATTTAAAAAAAGTCGAAAAGCCAGTTTGAGACCTTAGAAATGGAAAAATTATACCTGATCTTTTTAGTCTTTTAATGTTTACTCTTCTAGTTTTTTTGTTCATTTGTTTTTAAAGAAAGATTTAATTAGAAGAAAACACACATAACAGTTTTCAGATTTTGTTTTAAGGCTTGATATCAAATTCTAGCCTCATCGGGTTTCTGCATGTTTCCTGAGGCTCAGAGGGCTCCGGCCTTTCATTTCCTCCTGCCTCTGCCTCCTGTGGTGTCTTGTAGCCCCACTGTGACCCCTCTCTTTTTCCGAATCACCAGCAGAGTCAGGCTACCCTGTGACCTTCTTTGGTAAAAAGCTAACGTTTCAACGTATCTTCCTAGTCTTTCTCGTTAAATGACTGTCATTTTTAAAAACAAACCAACCAACCAACTCCAGCATATTAGCACCTATTAAAGTGGCTGTTGTGTTCAGGAATATGCCAGACCAGGCACTCCTAGTCACACTCCACCCCCACCTCATCTCTCACATCCACAGATTGTGTGACTTTGGGCACATCACCTCCCTTCTTTAGGCCTCACTTGTTTCATCTGCTAAGAAGGCAGTCAAACTAGACCATCTCTGAAAAGATCCCGGAACCAGTTGCTGAAGACTCTCCCTGACCCTCTTCAGCTTCCTGCCTGGTGGCTTTTCATGACCCCATCCTCAGCACCAAGAGAAAGGAACAGAGACGGCAGATGTTTGGGACCTTACCTCACAGATATTTTCCAACTCACACTGGAGCTAAGTAATGTGGAGACACAGAAATTTAGGTTCATTACTAGCATAGAGAAGGCTGAGCCAAGTCGGCCAGTGTGTGGAGAGCAGTGTGGCAGGGGCAGGTTTGGTGAGGACCAGTGGGCAGGACAGACATGGCGGGCAACCTCCCAGGAGCAGGCAGAGCAAGGTACAATGGAACTCAGACACAGAATGGGCTAGAGTCTCTCAGTCGCCTCTTCCCTGGCCTTGATGAACGTTCTGGGACCTGGGGCCTGGCTATGGGGTAAGGCTGAGTTTAACAGAACCACTGCCCATTCCGGCCCCACCTCACCCCAGGAAACGCCTCCTCACCGCAGTGACCACATCCCCCCCAGGTTGCCTTGGAAACACTCTGTGGGGGCAGGAGGAGTTGGGGCAGAGTTGCCAAGCAACAGGTGGTGCCCTCCCTTCCGCCCTCATCTGAGGCCAACTCTCTGTGTCTTTGAGTCAACCGCCCTCCGCCCTCCTGGCCTGCGCAAGGAAGAGCCACTCCGAAGGGCAAGACAGGTGCCCTGGAGCTGACCAGCGTTGAGGTGAGGAGTGTAGGAGGCCCTGCGGATGGTTGGGGAGCCTGAGGGAGGTAGAGGTGGGCAGAGACAAAGAGATGGGCCAGAGACCTCACAAGCTGGAGAGACAGGGACAGGTGCAGGGCGGCATTTGTGACCTAGCGTGAGAGCAGATCCAAGACCAACTCGAAGAGAGTGTGAAGGGGCAAAGGTGGCTTGAGAAGGGGGTGCACAAGGAGGGACAGGGCCTGGGGGGGAGAGGTTTCCATTCCCCCCTTCCTCCTTAGGTAGGAGTAGACCTGAGGGAACCTAGACACAAGAAGGAAGCCCTTAGGGCCCTTAAAGTTCCTGCAACGCCCTGGGAGCTGAGAGAAAAACAAGGCTTCCAGGAGGGAGCTAGGAGTCTGAGCAGGAAGGGCCTGGCTGCAGGCTGAGGTAGGTCTCTGCCTGTCTCTCTGGCCCCACTCGGCTCTCTCTTGCCTTTTCTGGGTCCCCTATACTCCTCTATCTCCACCTAGGTCTATGTCTCAGCTAGACCCCGGCCCCTCTCACTCACCGCACTCTTTCTTTGACACTTGTTGTTTGCTCCCTGGGTCAACTGTACCAACCCTGTCTCACTTGCTTCCTCTCCTGCCCCTTGTGTCTCCCAGATGCCTTCAACTCCAGAACAGCCTTCTGGGCACATGGAAGGGCCCCCTGCATCAGAGGCAGCCTCGTGGCCCCCACTCCCCTGCGGGCCCTGTGTACCCATCATGCTGGCCCTGGCCTCCCTCGCTGCCCTCTTCCTCCTGACCACAGCCGTGTTGGCCGAGCGCCTCTTCCGCCGCTCCCTTCACCGGGACCCCAGCAACCGTGCCCCCACACTGGTCTGGCGCCCTGGAGGGGAGCTGTGGATTGAGCCCCTGGGCACTCCCCGAGAGCGCTCTGAGGACTGGTACGGCTCTGCAGTCCCCCTGCTGACCGACGGGGCCCCAGAACCCCCCACCCCTGGGGGCACCTTGGAGGCTCGAGCAACAGCCCCACCTGCTCCTTTAGTCCCCCACTCCCTTCCCAGCTCCTTGGTCTCCCAGACCCCACCCCAGGCCCCAGCCCGAAGCACCTTCCCGGTACCACAGCCCTGGGAGGAAAGGCCTCCCAACCCAGGCATGGTGAGCTGGGCTGAACCTGAGCCCAGGCAAGGGGCCAGTGTGTACTTGGAGCCCCGGGGGCAACGGCCAAGAAGCCCCGAGCCTGAGTGGGGCCTTCAGCCTCGAGTCACACTGGAGCAGATCTCAGCTTTCTGGAGGCGTGAAGGCCGGACCAGCGTGGGCTTCTGAGTGCTTGGGGGCCGCAGGACTGGCTTCTCTTCCCAGAGGCCCCTGAGGAAACCCTACCACAGCGCTGATGC